CACACACACACACACACACACACACACCAACCCCTCCCCCGTCCAAGGGTCTTTTGGCCAGTCCAATGACACCACAGATCCTTCCTTACTCTTCTTCTACACCGGGGTGGGGGTGGGCTTTCCTTACTACTGCTATTGCAGTGCAATAATACTCTAAGCCCAGACTGCATGGTGAGGCCGACCAAGTAGCCTAGGCTCAGAGGAAGTCAGCTGAATGACTCTGGTGTCATTTATCTGGAAGGACTAAAGGCCATCTAGTGGTGAAAAGTACTATGTCCGTGGCAGCATGCCCCTGTAAACCGACTGCTGGCTGCTATAGATTGTTTGGCTCCTTTCCAATTGTCTTATAGGGGCATTAGTGTTAACTCTTTCTTGGGACAAAAACATATGTGACCTAACAACTCCAGAGTCCAGTACAATATCGATTTATACTCATTGTATTATATTTACCCTAAAGCATACTGGTTCTCTTAGAATGGCTTACTTGTTGTAAGAAATTATAGATCAGGTATGTTATAAAAGAAACGTTACATTCAGCCTTAATTTCAGTTCCTCACAAGCTTCTGGCGACTTTAATGCAAGATCAAAAGGAAACTGCAAAATGTTCCAAAAATTGGAGCAGACAAAAAGAAATGTGTGACACCAATCAGAAATGAATCTTACCTGTGGAGGGAAGCGTCGGATACTCTCAACTAAATATTGGTAAGATTTCCAGTCTCCGGCTATGACTTCTCCCAGCACCGGTATAACCTGGAAACTGTATAGATCATAAATCCTGCCAAGAAGTAGATGGTTAGTGCTTGAGATTCTAGATTCTGCTGTAAAGGATATCTTTCATGCAGAAATACACAAAGCAGATCTTCATATTTTTCTTTTACAGTCAGTTCTCCTTTTTGGACAATCACAACACCAATTGGGCCATTTGCCAACAATATGCGTCATTTAGCTAAATGCTCAATGTACCTAAAAACATGAAATAATCATAACTCAAAACAGTGTTTTCAAGCGGATTCTTGAGAAATAGGACTCCTCTTCCAAAAAAATCTGGGTGCTATAATGAGCACTTCCAATGATCATGAATGTCCTTCACCAATTCAAACATGTGCTTTTTGATCACTTGCAAGGATCAGACCATTGCTTACAAAGACCAGGCCCTGAATGGGCTTCTTACATGTGCTAGTCTGCTGACAAGAAAGATTCATTTACACTAATTGTGTTAAAGCCTGTTCCACATGAAATCTCTCTTTCTGCTGAGATATTTAACAGAACAAATATTACACAATCCACATAACACGGCGATATTGGACATTTCCTACAAATAGCATGAATTCCACTATTAAAAGGAGAACTATGAGGTGGGTGCTTTTCACTCACTTCATAGTTCTAGCCGACCTGTGACAATGAGACTGTCACAGGTCGGCTCAGTAGATTGGGAGGTGAGCGAACACATACCGGGTTCGCTCGCCTCTCGATCCTGTCACGGCTCTCTGCCGTGACAGGGGGAGGGGCTGGATTCCACTCTCCCCCGCTCCGATCTGCCAGCGCTGACTGGCGGAACGGACGGGGGAGGGGGCGGGTACAGCTGGCTCTGCCTCTAGATAGGCAGAGCCAGCTGTCACTCACGCAGCTGGGCGGATCCCGTCATCTAAGTCGTGATCCGCTACAGCTCGCGGTATACTGAGCTTAGGGTAACGGGAGGACGCTAGTTTGTGTCCTCCCGTTACCCTAAGGAGAACTATGGGTAAAAACACTGACCCCATAGTTCACCTTTAAGCTGGTTTTAATATTTACTGTCATCATGATTTACCCATTCATGTCTTATATGTCTGACCACTCTCAGGACCCACTAGCCTCCTGCGGCTTTGTTTCTTCACCCTCTATGGACTGTTGCCGATACCTGGCAAGTAGATATTAGCTGACAGGTCCTAGAACATAGACTAAGAGTAATCGGTCTTTTAAAAACAAGGAAGAAGTGTAGGAGAGGCCTTAAATAATAAAGCACCATACAGTGGAGGAAAAGCATAAGAGCTCAAACAATGGCACAAATGTACATGATTAGCCAAAGACAAGCAGAAGAGGAAGGTCTCTTGCTGCCTTATTCACCAGTGGGTGTGACAGGTTATGAGGATAGTGCAGCAGCGTCAAGGAGGTGAGAGCAACAAATTAAACTCTCCCTCCACGCTGATCTGCCCTTTAAACTCTAAGGAAAAGTAACACTATACTATTAAAAGGGGAAAATACAGATTTTATTACGGTTTGTTGCTCGATGTTTTTTTTTTTTTTAAAACCTTGTTTGAATGTACAGCTTGTGATTACAAATGTACACAGGGCAGCCCTATTTGCACATTATATATGCAGGTTTTGCTTAGTAATGCTTCATATTCATTGTACCTTACCCTTCCTCTCCCTCAATGCACTTTTATCAGTTAAGACCGACTGATTGAAAACAATACTCTCCGTATGCGGCTGGTATTTTATTTGTTAGTGAGGAAGGCTGATTTCAGGGAGCATCTACAAATCTTTATATGCAACACAATAATGGAATATGGTACTGCATTAAAAATGAAAAAAGTCCAGAGGTGTTTACTGAAAATAAACAGAAGGGAATTTATCAAAACTGGAGCAGACAAAATCTGGAGCAGCTGTGCACGGCAACCAATCAGCTTCTCTCTTTCATTTCATATCTTAACTGAACAGACTGAAGAGAAAAGCTGATTGGTTGCCGTGGGCAACTGCTCCAGATTTTGCCTTCTCCGGTTTTGATAAATTCCCCCCATTGTACTGTTCCTTTAAGCTGAACAGAGCTACAATGTATTGTAAAATTAGCTGTTACCTTGCTAGTAATGGGTTATTGACTTGGCTGAATTCCAGACATAAGAACCTTCCTCCTGGTTTTAACACGCGATATGCTTCTTCAAGAGCCTTTGGAAAAAAAAAACATGAAAAAAATAAATAAAATGAAATACTAGAAAAAAGGTAACACGGTGAATATGGCTTTTTTCATATATTACTTCCCCTTTAATTGTTTGACATTGCTCATCAGTGAGGGCCTAATGCAGTGCGGTGCTGCCACACACTGAGCACACTACTTGCATTGCTGCACTATGGTGACATGCATTCTGAATGGCACCACAAAACACCTTCCCAGCACACCTGCGTTGCATTGCAGTGACAATTCACTACTGTGCGTTGTGAAGCACTACTGAAAACACTGCATGCACAATTTTGGATCTGTTGCGGTGAACATCCAAAGGAATGAACTGCACTAATGCAAGTTAACCCAATGCAGCGGACTGGGCTTTTGTGGATGGGACCCAATATTAGGCCAGCTGGATTTCACCAATTGCCAGCGTAACTGCTATCCTCATATCAAAAATCTGTTTCTTCTGATATAATAGGGCCCCACACTAAACCAGATGTATTGCCATTTATATAAGAAGTCTAGACATATATATAGTTCACAAATAGCAATAATATCTGATTTAACGCTTTCCCTGCCAACCCAATATTTCCATTTTTCTGGTGTCATTCACAATGCTTGTTATAAACGTCAACATTCCCCAATATGTTTTGTAAAAGCAGAGAACCTGCAGAATAAAAATATAGTATTGTCCTATAATGCTTTATTTAGAGGGTTCATAAACGTTTTTGTTTTTTTTGTGTGTGCAAGCAAACACAGTATAATCTCCAAGACTTAAAGAAGAACTCCAGGCAAAACGTATTAATCCGTGCAGTGGGGTTACCCCTGCACTGCAAGGGAGGGTTATCTGCTCTCTTTTGTCTAGGTGCTAAGAACAAAACAAAAAAAGGAAGGGGAGGTCTACTCCCCCAAACCTCGGAGCCAGCTGGCTGTCATAGCACTTCCTCCAGCCCGTCTCCTCCTAGGCTGTCCTATACGTTGTGTATTGGACGTGATAGCTCAAGGATCCTTAGACCACTGCAGCGGAGGGGGAGAGGAGCTGGAAGGACTGGTCTAAGAGCAAGCCGGCTCAGAGGATCAGGTGTTCTTTATTTTAGCACCTAGATGAAAACGAGCCATCTACCCCCGCACTGCAAGGGTTAATAAAAGTTTTGCCTGGGTTCTTTAAGTATACCTAAACATTTTTTTTTTACTTTGGATAGGGTGAGAAATGGTTTTTTTGCCATCTGTCTCCAGTCGGGAAGGCTTCCCTTAACCTCCTGTCCTGTAAACATAACAGATAATGAGAGGAAATCTCTCCAAGGTGACGGTTGGACAGTTGTCACCAAAACAAGTGCACCCATGGTAACATTTCCCTCCAATCCCGTGCTTGTTTTCTCCCTCTAGGATTGCCATGACAGTTCAAGTATTTACAATCAAAGGGTTATAGTATATGTCAATCTTCCAAATAGTGTCATTTGTGCTCGTTTTTCACACACCTTCTCTATATGGGTCACATTTCGAATCCCAAAAGCAATTGTATAAACATCGAACTTGCCATCGGCAAATGGAAGTTCCTCAGCATCACCAGCTACCCAAGACAAACCTGAACAAGGAAAAAAAAAACACAGCACTTGTATTTGACACCAACTGATCAATATGGTTTTATTTCAGACTGTAGTGTCCTGAACATTTCACAGATTCATTAGCTTCATTCTGTGTTTGTAATAACAGACTCCGATCTGGATTTGGCAGTATTTGAGAAGCAAGCTACTAATTGTCAACATTATAATGGGAACAGTCTGCAAAATCAGTGCCAGAATCAGGATGGAGATTGCCTTTCCTGAACTCTCCTTCTGAAATTGATGATCCACTGGATTCAGGGACTTTTCTTGGACTCTTGATCTGCATAGTCAGGACTCAAAGAGCTAAAGCCAAATGGTTTGCATAATTGAAAGAAATAAGAGATTGACTTCAAAAGTGTAAAAGACCTGCCTAGCATCCTGTCTTCTAGGTGAAGGATTGTACACACTTCAATGGCTCAGTACACAGCAGCAATCAGCTACTCTTTCGCTGTGTTGTGTTGCCTCAAAATCTGCCTGCAAAGTCTGGTTCACATCACACGCTGTAGGCACACAGACTTACCTCGCCAACATTTCTGCTGGGAGAGTGTTTGAGACTTGAGTAGTACAGAGCCTACACACAGGGTATACCTATAAAATGGCTGCCTCCTTTGAGTGCATATAAGCCGGGATATACATATAAATTCTCCAGAAACACCGGGCCAAAAAAATTAAGTCACACACGCTAATATTTCGCTTGGCCAGCTTTAGCTTTGATTGCGGCACGCATTTTGTCGCGGCATCGCTTTAAAAAGCTTATGCAATGTCACAACATTTATTTGCGTCCAGAGTTTCAAGGTCTTGCAGTGATGATGGTAGTTGGACCGCTGAGTAAAGTCTTTTCCATCACATCCCAAAGATTCTCAATGGGGTTAAGGTCTGGACTCTGTGGCAGCCAATCCATGTGTGAAAACGATGTCTCATGTTCCCCGAACCACTCTTTTACAATTTGAGCCCAATGAATCCTGGCATTTTTATCTTGGAATATGCCCGTGCCATCAGAGAAGAAAAAAACTGCTCATTCAGTATATTCAGGTAGGCAACTGACCTTCTGGGAACATAACATTGCTGAACCTAGACCTATTATCCAATGCAAGGCTCTGACCTGTTTGCTTAGCTAAATCCAGGACGTGACTTTTTTTTGACCAGGCAGTGTATATGCTATGAGGGACGTATATGCTACAAAGGTGTTATTCCCTTGATAGGCCAATAAAGCTGGCCATATACCTATAGATTTTCTGCAGATTTTCTATGGTCAGATGTAGGGTTGCACAGATACCAAGTACAGTACTCGGTACAAGTACGAGTACAAGTACAGATACTTTTGAGCTCCAAGACTACATTAGAGAACAATTCAAAAATTAGGAGGCAGCTGTCATTTGTAAGGAGCACACGGAGCTCCTGGGATTTGTACATCTGTGTTTTAATGTACGATTTTGTTTTTATAAATATAAATAAAGGGATGTACAGATACCAGTTTTGCGAGTACGAGTACTGGTACTTGCCGAGTACTTACAAGTACGAGTACCGATACACTTTTGTTTATTGTCATGTGACAGTTTTTCTAAAACAATACAGACTAATGATTTCAGCACAGTGGTGGAGTGCCAGAGCCAGGTCCCAGCTGCAACCGCTGCAACCCTGGTAGTTCTCATGAAAATGCCAAGTATCTGCACTGGTACTCGAAAAGTATCTGTGCATCCCTAGTCAGATGGAAAAATACCTGAACAATCTGATTGGATACCGGCATTGTTCAGGTATTTTGAAAGCCAGCGGGCTGACTAGCAAGATACTGAAGCTTGGCCCAGTGGGACATTCCTCCATCCACACAGTTTAGCGTAGATGGAGGATTCTTCCATCTGACCATAGACTATAAATCTGCAGATAATCTATAGGTGTATGGACAGCTTACAGGGATTTGTCAACTTGCCTGAGATCCAGAAACTGAAAGGTTAAAAGGAGCTGAAGACTATTCTGCATCTTCTTTTTACACCAAGGGAGCTCTTTGTGTTATCCTACATAACACAAAGATTTTATCAATACCTACAACTGCAGCGTGCTGTTTCATAATCTAGGACGTCTGTGTTTCTATAGAATTCTAGAGCCCTGGTTTCCATGACAGCACAAGCCTCCTCAAAGAAAGGATTGGTATCTGTTAGACGGGAATATCTCCGTCTTCATATACAACAGATGGGACCCACACCATTCAAAAGGGCCATAACCACCAACTAATGCATATGAAAAAAAATTATATGGGCACCCGTACAAAAGCCTGAATCAAGTACATACATCTCTACTTGTATACTAATGTTACCACAATGTCGTCATATAGATCTACATTTCTCCACTCCTCCTGGAAATAAATGTAAACTAGAAATCAGGCCTATTTACAAGTAAGCAGTGGATGACGTATTGAAAACTATGTAGTAGTCAGAGGCATAACTAGAAACCTCAGGGCCTCGGTGCAAGAAACCATGAAGACCCCCCCACCCCCCCACAAAAACCCCATGGATTTTGATACCTTTTTTTTATATTAAATAAACAGTATGTATGTTATGACTTTCAGGGCTAGTTCACACCAGCCCCAGTGTGTGCCGGCTCAATTTGGTCCTGGAACACACTGGATCGCATCTCGGCCGGCTCACTGCTTCTGGGGTGGGAGGATGATGGAATATGTAGAAATGAAAAATAAAACAAACAACTCTAGCATGTATGCCTATTACAATGCTGATGTTATAACAGAATAGTATATACTGGGATTCTATCCTTTGTGTAGATGATCTAGAATCACGAAATAGTTAAAAGGAATGCTTCAGGAGACTAAAATGGAGACTGCTGCTGCGGCTGCTGCCATTTCTTTCTAAAAATACTATTGGCTTGCCTGTCAACGTAACTCTCTGGCTTCAATTCTCTGAATCTCTGGCTTGAAACAATTACATGGATATAGGCTTTTGACTAACTTTTCTGATCTGTATATTTGTTCCAGATCAGTGACCAAAATATTGGATCCAGTAGGTCATCCGAACAGCCAAGTAGCATGCACTCTCAGTAGGAGATCAGCAATAGCAGCCCCCTTTGAGAAGCTTTTTTCAAAGCTTTTTTTTTTTTTTTAACATATTTCTGAACAAATGACCTTGTGAGGCTAAGGCCTGTCTGCTAGAGCTTCCTAAAGAAAATGTCCAGGCATTACCAAACAACCCCAAACCTCCCTCTCTAGAACATTTACCAGCTTTATTTTTTTTTTATTTTTCCTTGCTTCACCAGGCTGGTCAAGGTTTTGCAGTGGCAGACATCAGTGTATGTATATGGAATTGAACTGAGGGGGAAAGGGGGTTAGCAGAGCTCCCACTTTAAAATGCTGACTTCATCATTTTTATAACATTCAAACATTTTTTATAAAAACTACATACCAACATGTTCACAAAAAAATGAAAAGATTTGATATTATTGGTTACAAAGCCAACAACATTTAAAATGTCTTGCCATACTGTACAGGACACTACTGGCTTAAAACACAACTCCCCCCAAAATTACATAGTATTTGAGGTTGAATAAAGACACATGTCCATCAAGTCCAACCTATTGTGTGTGTATGTGTATGGGTCCCTGTGTCATCTTGTTATTAGGAGTACTTGTACCCCTGTATATTACCGTTTCTCAGGAAATCGTCCAAAAGCTTCTTGAACGATTCCACACTATTAGCTGAAATTACTGCTTGTGGCAACGAGTTCCAGACCCTAACCGCTCGAACTGAGAAGAACCCCCTTCGCCCCTTGTGTTTGAATTTTTTTTCTACCAGTTTCAGGTGGTGGCCTCTAGTCTTTGTTACGGAATTAATCGTAAATAGTTTGTTGCTAATGTTGCTATGACTATAGAACATTAATTCCGGCGTGAACATATTTAAAATTAGTAACCAGTATTTCAGACAGAATGGAGAGTGGTTAGAAATCCTGTAAAGCTTTACATGCTGTCTATGGCTCCATTGCAGAGATTTTTCTAGGAGGTGAAAAAGTACCTTGGACATCAGAAGAACTTAGAGGGTTATTCACAAAGCTGCCAAAGGCAGCCGAGTGAATAACCCACCCGAACGCTGTTCTGCTATTCACTTCAGGCATGTATGGCTGAAATCAGCCGTACATCGGCTTGCTTCGGTTCAACTGTTCTGCTCAGTACCTTCGTGGTATCGAGCAGAATAGAAAAACAGTGAAAAAAGTTGAAAAAAAATGCTTACAAAATGTAAATAAATGACATATATAAAAAAATAAAATAAAGATTAAAGCATTTTTTGTTTAAAAGAACAATTGGGCAGAGCTAGCAGTGACAGCTAGCTCCACCCAACTGTTTCCTATTGGCCGGGACCTGCTGGAGTCTTCTAGCAGGTCCCGGCTAATGAATAACAACTGGGCAGAGCCGGCCGTGACGTCATGGCCGGCTCCGCCAAGCTGTCATTGTTTAATAGTAGTTCAGCTTCCCCAGGTAACCTGGGGACGCTGATCTGTCATTGCAACTGGGCGGGGCCATCCATGCGATCACATCTAGCTCCGCCCAGCTGTCAGTTGCAAGGCTTTCGGCCCCTCCTCGGGTTTCACTTCGGCTCAGTCGAACCGAAGCATATGCTTTCGGCTCGGCCGAGCCCCTCGGCCAGCTTCGGGAGCTGTACGGGCTATAGTAAATAGCCCGTACAGCAGCCATTCGGTTCTACAGAACCGAAGGGCTCCGGCAGCCAAAGGATCAGCTGGAGCTACGGCTAATCCTTCGGCTAGCTTTGTGAATAACCCCTAGTATAGCTCACTAACTTGTTGGAAAATATCAGTGCGATCTGGCTGGTTCTTTATTCTTCTAAACAATGAAGGAGTTAGATGGGCATGTGCGGTTTCTCTATTTAGGGAAAGCTACAGGAATAAACTCAACATTTTAGACACTACAGATAACATAAAGATGTCTCCTCAACCACTGCTTTCAGGAAGACCTCTGACCAGCCATGTAGCTGATCAAATAATAAACCATTCTTCAGGAATTACATCTGTAAATCTCTGGACCATGTTAAAAAAACATTTTTTGAAAGCTGGGAATATTAGGAACAATCATACTATAAAATATGACACTAATAAAGCAAACAATGTGTTTTGTTTTTTTAACGGAATATGAAATATTGTATACAATTGTACACACATTTAGTATTTTCAGGGCAGCCAGCAGGTGTAACTTTTGTCTCCCTTTCACAATTTCCTGGGTCTCCTTTACTTGTTTGGTGTCAAAGTCCTGTTATTTACAAAGCTCAGTAGCTGAAGCTGCAATTTATACACACACACACACACACGTCAGAGCAGTGAATTACACTTGACCAGATGTCTCCACTAGAGGTTATAATAAGAGACATCATACCTGAAAGGTAAGTATTGGTGCTGTGCTATCTCCTTAGCTAACCCATAGAGGTCTGGGAATCTCGTCACAAAGTAGTATAGAAATATCTACCTATCCAAAGTAGGTATAGAGGCACTCGCAGGTCAGGATGGACTGAACTCCATCTTGAATTCCAAAATGTTGATAAAATGCTGATGATGCTTTGACTTCTCTCCACTGCAAGACCCTTGAGTTAGGGCTACACTACACAGAGGTGTGTGTGTATATATATATATATATATCACATACATACATACATATACATACACACACAAAACTGAAGTTTGAATCTAAGGTTTTACTCTTCCTTTAACATTCAGTTTACCTTCAGAGTAACCCATTTGCAGTAACTTCTCTTTTCCAACTTTCAACATCTCCTTGTTGATATCACAGATCACAGCCTGCGAACCCATCAATGACCCGAGCTGATCATGACTGTATGATTTTGAGATTTCTGACCAGGACAGGTTCTGCTGAGATTTTATCTGGCTGCGAATCATTTTCTCCCTTTGTGCACGGATGTAATTGATAAAGCGAAATGCAATATCTCCTGTAGGCAAAGAACATAGATGAAATGTAGAAATTGTAGAAGTAATCAAAACACAATATTTCGCTTAGCACAACTTAGCATATGCAGGTTACTTATTGCCTTTGATTTTTATGCTGGAAAATCCATCACTATGCTAACGACAACCTCCTCCAGTTAGTATGATATTGGTCAGACAAGACTGCCAAACAGACTGAAGAATTGATAATTTACCTTAAAGCTGAACTCAATGCAACCTACTAAATACAAAGTTGTCAAGGGATTTGTGTTACTGTCCACCGAGTCTTGAGAATTACACAGCCCTGCCAAGCTTACTTTTCTCTGCTACAGTTAAACAATACAGCCAGGTTACCTCTCTTCCCCCAGCCTCTAAATGGACAGTGTCGGAGCAGCATCAGACATTTGAGATCACCGTTCTGCTCTCTTTTGCTGTCACCATCCCTCTCCCAGTCTGCTGATGTACAGGGGATTACAAAAGGCTCATATCAAATTAAATTTAGGTTTTTTTACAAGCAACATTTAAAATCTCTTTTTTTTTTCTTAAATAAATACGTAACTGCATTTGTGTTTTTATATCTCTCTGGAGTTCAGTTTTAAGGCACATGCATATGGGTGTAAAAAAATAAAAATACTGATACCAATGCAGAATACCAATGCAGAATCCTGCTGGTATAATCTACCAGCAGGTAAAATACGGATACCAATGCAGAATCCTGCTAATATAATATACCAGCAGGTAAAATACCGATACCAATGCAGAATCATGCTGGTATAATATACCAGCTGATAAAATACTGATACCAATGCAGAATCCTGCTAATATAATATACCAGCAGGTAAAATACCGATACCAATGCAGAATCATACTGGTATAATATACCAGCAGGTAAAGTACCGATACCAATGCAGAATCCTGCTGGTATAATATACCAGCAGGTAGAATACTGATACCAATGCAGAATCCTGCTGGTATAATATATCCTGCTGGTATAATATACCAGCAGGTTTTACGGGTATAATATACCAGCAAGTAAAATACTGATACCAATGCAGAATCCTGCTGGCAGAAAGAAAAAAAAATCATGTAATGGTCCATAAAGTGCTTCCGTTTACATGTGTTTAGATGCGTAAACTTCTGTAAAATGTTCACATTCCTAAAACTCTTCTTCCTTTCCTCTACCTCAGATTTCAATGCATTTATGTATATGCATACATAGGTAGGTACTGGTAGGCTGGAGCCTGAACCAGTAAACAATGATCACAGGTTCGGATGAACATCCAAATATTGTGGTTAAGCTAGCAAGGGTAGCGGGGCTGCGCAAGGCAATGCCAGTATGAAAATTAGAGCCATTCAGCAGGTAGGTGTCCACAGTCCGAATGAATGCAAAGTTTCACTGGAGTGCACCTATAAAAGGTATCTGATGACATTAGATGACCATTCTTTGAAATATCAGGATATAGTGATGACAGACATCAGAAGACAACTACAGATAACCTCTTTTACTGACAAGAATGGATTGTTCTGGTCAATAACTTGACTCCTTAGCTAAGAGCAGCACCAGGGTTACCTGCAATGCAGACATATGGGAACCCTCTCTAAAAAAGTGTGCATGTTGATGTTCCTATTAGATCAGTCAGTTGTTTGGTGGGTCAATCATATTTCTAACTCTTAACACTCCCAACCTTTAAAGCAGAACTCCAGGGAAAACTATTATTAACCCTTGCAGTGTGGGCATGTCCCTCTGCATCCTCACGTCCCATACACCGTGTATAGAATATGATGATTTCGGGAACTTAGACCGCTGCAACGGAGGGGAGGGGGGGAAGAGAGGCTCCAGAGGCCTTTCTAAGGGCAAGGTGGCTCCAAGGTGAGTATAACGATTTTCCTCCCTACACACAAACGAGCAGTTAAACCTTGCAGTGCGGGGGTAGCCCCACTGCAAGGGTTCATCATTATTTTTCTCCAGAGTTCTTCTTTAACTCCAGTGAAGTGACCAGGAGCTGTCATCTGTGTTTGGTAGTTGTTTGACTGTGTCTGCACTGCAAATTAGCGCAATGCTGCAAAAGATTTGATCTAGTAAATGTGCATGCGCGAACCTTGTTGATCATAAAAGGGAGTTGTGACGCAGTGAGAGTTGCCTGGAATAAAATAAAAAAACCCAGCACAAGTCTCCAGAGATGATCTGAACCCAGAATGTATTTACAGTCGGAATAATGACCTTCTGTTTTTTCCCACATAGCTTAGAAAATTCAAATGCCGACAGGCTGCACTCCATTTGGGTCAAAGTTGAGACACAGTTTGTCTCGGACACCTTTTCTTAATTCCCCATCATGTATCTTCTTAAAAAGGAGAACTATGTGGTTAAGGCTTTTCCCCATGGTTCTCCTTAGGGTAACGGGAGGACACAAACTAGCGTCCTCCCGTCACACTAAGCTCAGTATACCGCGAGCTGTAGCTCGCGGTATACTGAGACGCCGCGGCTGAAGCGGATCCCAATAATTATGTCTGGATCCGCCCAGCTGCGTGAGTGACAGCTGGCTCTGCCTATCTACTGTAGAGGCAGAGCCAGCTGTACCCGCCCCTCCCCCTTCCGATCCGCCAGTCAGCGCTGGCGGATCGGAGCGGGGAATCCAGCCCCTCCCCTGTCACGGCAGAGAGCTGTGACAGGATCGGAAGGTGAGCGAACGCCGGTACGTGTTCGCTCACTTCCCGATCTACTGAGCCGACCTGTGACAGTCTCATTGTCACAGGTCGGCCAGAACTATGAGGTGAGTGAAAAGCACCCACCTCATAGTTCTCCTTTAATTTTGAGTACTTTTATTCATTCAACTTGTTACCTGTCCCTCCTGCCACATCTAGCAGCTGAGTGCCGGGGGTGGGATTCATATGACGGATCAGCCAGTCTTTCCACAACCGGTGAATTCCCAGGCTCATTGAATCATTCATAATGTCATATTTCTGAGCAACACTCTCAAATACACGATAGACTGAAAAGAGAAGAGGTTAAGACAAATTATATTATCAAAGGATCTTGGGTCATACTGTAAGGATTCCCCTTAGGGACAGTCCACATCCCCCTATAACCTAGTCTCAGCTATATACTCCTAAACACTGGACTCTGTACATTACACACCCATGCACTCCTGACCTGTGCAACCTATGCGTTACATACTCCAGAGCCCTGCACTCTGTGTACTATATACGCCTGGCTCTGTCTTTAACATACTCCCCACCCCTGAACTCTGTGCGTTACACTCTGGACCCCTGCACTCTGTGTGCTACATACTTCTGACCCCTGCTGCAGTCTGTGCACTACATATGCATATCCCCTGCACCCTGTGCGCTACGCCTGACCCCTGCACGATGTGCATAACATACGCCTGACCCCTGCACAATGTGCATAACATACGCCTGACGCCTGCACAATGTGCATAACATACGCCTGACGCCTGCACAATGTGCATAACATACGCCTGACGCCTGCACAATGTGCATAACATACGCCTGACGCCTGCACAATGTGCATAACATACGCCTGACGCCTGCACAATGTGCATAACATACGCCTGACGCCTGCACAATGTGCATAACATACGCCTGACGCCTGCACAATGTGCATAACATACGCCTGACGCCTGCACAATGTGCATAACATACGCCTGACGCCTGCACAATGTGCATAACATACGCCTGACGCCTGCACAATGTGCATAACATACGCCTGACGCCTGCACAATGTGCATAACATACGCCTGACGCCTGCACAATGTGCATAACATACGCCTGACGCCTGCACAATGTGCATAACATACGCCTGACGCCTGCACAATGTGCATAACATACGCCTGACGCCTGCACAATGTGCATAACATACGCCTGACGCCTGCACAATGTGCATAACATACGCCTGACGCCTGCACAATGTGCATAACATACGCCTGACGCCTGCACAATGTGCATAACATACGCCTGACGCCTGCACAATGTGCATAACATACGCCTGACGCCTGCACAATGTGCATAACATACGCCTGACGCCTGCACAATGTGCATAACATACGCCTGACGCCTGCACAATGTGCATAACATACGCCTGACGCCTGCACAATGTGCATAACATACGCCTGACGCCTGCACAATGTGCATAACATACGCCTGACGCCTGCACAATGTGCATAACATACGCCTGACGCCTGCACAATGTGCATAACATACGCCTGACGCCTGCACAATGTGCATAACATACGCCTGACGCCTGCACAATGTGCATAACATACGCCTGACGCCTGCACAATGTGCATAACATACGCCTGACGCCTGCACAATGTGCATAACATACGCCTGACGCCTGCACAATGTGCATAACATACGCCTGACGCCTGCACAATGTGCATAACATACGCCTGACGCCTGCACAATGTGCATAACATACGCCTGACGCCTGCACAATGTGCATAACATACGCCTGACGCCTGCACAATGTGCATAACATACGCCTGACGCCTGCACAATGTGCATAACATACGCCTGACGCCTGCACAATGTGCATAACATACGCCTGACGCCTGCACAATGTGCATAACATACGCCTGACGCCTGCACAATGTGCATAACATACGCCTGACGCCTGCACAATGTGCATAACATACGCCTGACGCCTGCACAATGTGCATAACATACGCCTGACCCCTGCACAATGTGCATAACATACGCCTGACCCCTACACAATGTGCATAACATACGCCTGACGCCTGCACAATGTGCATAACATACGCCTGACCCCTGAACAGTCTGACCTCTGCACTCTGTATTCCTCAGAAATACCCACTATCATTCTTGGTGACTTTAACATTGCTACTAACATTAACACCCCAGCCTCTGCTCAATTTCATAACCTAACCTCTTCTTTTGATCTAACACAATGGTCAAACACTACTACTCACTCTGATGGTCACATACTAGATCTTGTTTTCACCCACCTATGCACTACTTGCAACCTCTCCAACACCCCTTTCCCCCTCTCAGACCACAACCTTATCAGTTTCACCCTCACCCTGTCCCCAACACTGACTCCCCCTACACATCACACTGTCACCCGGAGAAACCTTCGCCACCTCGACCCTTCTCTTCTCTACTCTGCTACTGACTACCTCTATGACAAAATCTCACCCCTGTCCTGCCCTGACCTGGCTATTTCTGTCTTCAACAGCTCACTTTCATCCTCCCTAGACAATTTGGCTCCCCTCACTACACGCAGACTTAGACCACGTCCACTACAACCGTGGCAAACAAAAGAAACCAGACATCTAAAAAGACATAGTCGCGCTCTTGAACGACTGTGGCGAAAAACTAGATCTCTGCAAGATTTCACCTTGTATAAAGCTGCCCTCCTAAAATATAATTCCTTCCTCCGTGCTGCCAAACAGACTTATTTTGTTACTCTCATTAGCACACTCTCATCCAAACTAGAGCTGCAGCTAACGATTATTTTCAAAATCGATTAGTTAGCCGATTATTAAGTTCGATTAATCGGTTAATCGGATAAAAAATAAAATACATTTTAAAAAATGGCTCCAGTGATGGGACTTCT